TTTGGGGCATTACTCGTTGAGCAAGCGTGTAGGGAGAACAGACCGGTCAACCGGTCCGAATTTGTATTAAAATGCAAGAATGGAATTTTGGAACGTTTCTCGTACGACGTTGTTCTAGCACCTATTGGAATGGTAAACTTTGGCCTACGCAACACCTAACTAAACGGAATCCTGCTTGTTGCTTTCGAGTAAGTGGTTCAAGCGCCATTGCAAGAGTGACGTCAATAACTTCTTTACGGCCATCATCAAGTTAATCCCCAGGCAGTTAGCGCTGTCATGCCATCCTCGTTTTGATTTGCATTTGAAAAGGAAGAACCACAATTCATCCATGGCACACTACTCGATTTCGAGGACGCGTACCGATTAGTCCCCAATCTGGCCTTCACATTTTAGCAAGAAACGTGCCGATCTACCGTTTTAAGAAAACTTTCATAGCGTAGTAGTGTCAATCTGAGCTACTTAAATCGCCTCCTATAGTAAGCCACAACTGTTTTTTAATGGGCTTTTGCACGATGCATGGCAAAGTACGAAGTGCTATGCTATCAGCGCCAAGTGCCGTCTGTTCAAATTCTCTAATATTGTCATTTGGTCACTCGATAACTTCGAGATCGCCAGTTCTGGCTGGTGCCAGGAATTCTATACCGAAGGTTAAGGAGCATGAGGACGCACACAAATCCCTCACACGCCAAATAGTGAAGGGCCTAAAGAAAAACCAAAATATCAACCACGGATTCTCTTCTCTTTGATCTAGCAGCCGGATTTTCGTATCTGCATCGCTTTGCGATTGAAAATCAGTTTCAGATGTAGGATAGTTGAATCATAGCGGTAAGCTTGAAACGTATTTTGTTTACCGCACCGGCATACTGATGACATTACCAGCATCCTTGTTGGTAATACTCGGACCCACGAATCCTGAACGACAAAATTTGATTACCATGTATTTAGGGGGTTCTGGTGATACCCGAGAAACCAAGCTACGAGGAAATTCGGAAGGTGGGCATTTTCTCAATTTATCCTCAGTATCTGCAGCAACGGTCGAACTCTCCAAGTTTCATTACAGGAGCAAGCTTAGGCTGGAACACTTCGTGGTCATCCGGATTTAGCGTAAAGGGTGGATTCAGCAATCGAAGTGACAGTTGTATAAATGGTTAAATAAGGCGGTTGGCGCACCCACCGGCCCATTCTACGCTTTGCAATTTCGCCTAACAACGCACTGGGATGTCAGTCCCGTTGATGTTGAAACGCTTGCATTTAGACTGCTCAACCCAGCGAACAAACCAACGACCATCTACACTGCTTGCGATAACAACATGCTTCATAGCACGTTGATGCAGATCGCGTATTGAAGTTACACCTCCAGTAGACGGTTGCTCAGTTTTCTGTCTCTAAAACCTGTTAAAACGAGTATAGTCAAACAAGGCGCTGTGCCATTACCCTCCACACCTGAATATAACCTTTTGTCAATCGCGTTTCCCGGTTCCGGGAACCGTAGGGGCTGTAAACAGGCCATAAGGAACACTAACCCTCCCTGTTTCGATAAAACCAACCACCGACATGAGGGTTAAACTGCTTTCGCCCTGATCAACATTAACGTATTAGGAGCCTTCCTTCTTCCCTGCCATGTTTAAATATGGCTCATCATCCTCCATTACTATGTGGCTTTGGGTATTGATTCAAACGCTGAAGGGCATTCTGCCTTCGCAATAGCCATCACCTTCGGTTCAAAATTGCTTGTTTTCATTTTATTCTTTTTCCACTTGTACCTTGTTCATCGCGATATCCAGATTTTCCTCAAAAGTTAAATTCTCATGTGGTCTCCCGCGTTACTTTTGTCGTATGTCACCTATTTCTCAATGCTCATCAATTCAGGCCCAGTGACCAGGGTGTGTCAATGTTTGGATGGCAATTTTGTATAGAGCCATTCTATCCTTACATATATGCCCATGTTATATCCGGACCACTGAACCTAGTGCAGAATAAATGGAGCTCTCGGACCCAGGGGGTAATCAGTGAAATGTAGGAACAGACAGATGTGGCAGGGGATTCTATATAGACAAGTGGTTCTGCAAAATTGAATAATCAGACTTCACGAATTAAGTAGAACCTGCAATCAGATTAAGCGAAGTCAAAACGTGCGCCCCCAGCCGTTTGAAGCATGCAGGCAACATGCTATACAATGTTAATATGAAAACGGGGTTGTCATTGCGGTGAAGTCGGCGCCGTAGAATGAGTGGGTTGGAAGCAGGATGCCGACATGAAGATAAGCCATACGTATGGCCATCCATGAGTGGGCAAACTCACTCGCTACCACTGATTCTCATGAAGCATCTATCACCGAATTCCGTGCATCTATAGGTACTTGAAACGGATTTCTATTTAGCTGCTTTTTCGACCGCAACGTTACGATCATGCATCAATACCTACATATAGGAACGCCTTTTCATTGTTATTATTATTATTAATAACGTAAGATCCGAGAGCCAGGGATCCCACAGGACGATTGCGGCTATCAGAATATACGCAGTTGGTGGAAAGTGGACAAGAGAAGCAGACAGACTAGTTCAGCAGCTGATATATCGAGAACTAACAGGAACTGGTTCTATAGGCAAGCGGGTTGTCAAGCATCGTGAATTAAGCAAACGTACTATCAATGATGGCGTAATCAGCGGAAGCAGGAAATAGTCACTGGAGCAACAGGAATTCCTGGAAGCAACAGAAGGTGAGCACCAAACGATATACAAACATGCAGATACTGGCAGTTGATCAGTGTGAGTTGCCCGTATAGAGATAACGGCGCAGAAACAATCAATGCGCCTGTGATTGTCTTGGTTGACGGTGCGATACGTCAGCGCCAGGCGCGCGACAGATTATATTAAGCGGTTATATTCGTTTAAAACAAATTTCATCGTTGACAGATGCTGTATATAGGTAATGCAACAATAGGGCCTTCCCAGCATCAAGTCGGTGTGGTGGGCGGTACGCTTGCCCGCCACCCGAAGAGCTCTGAGTTCGATCCTCGGTTGGTCTGCCTTTCGGTCAGAACGGACGCCCCAGAATATGTATAAATTGGACAAAGTTGCAGGCAATGACGGACGGGCAACAAAATATTGATATCAGTCGCCGAAGAATGGGCAAACCTTAAGTAGGAGCCAATTGGGGGAAAACGATCAGCAAGGAAGCGAAACGGGTGTATGCCAAATTAATCATGAGCAGTCAGAGCATAAAGAAAATTACCGCTGTTCAGAGAGGGAATCAGCAGTTATTATTGCTGCAACTCATGTTCGCCTACCTGAGCAGCACCGCAAGTACCGGTCGACTGGCAAGGATGAAATCACTCCCAGAATTTAGAATTCCATGGTAGCCCCGAGACCCCGCGACATATGTGGTGCCAACGTGACATCAGCAAAGCTGTCAGGCCGAGAATGTTAGCTTGGTCCGTTCGATCTGCCTTACTTATTGAATGAGAGATATGGTGTCCATACGCATCAAAGACTGCATGCTTAAACATCGGCGCGAGCGAAGCACTGCGACAATTAATGAGGCCCTCGGATCACTTGTGCCGGGCCAGATCGTCAAGCTCCATAGGTTAAACGGGCTAGATGTCGTACGTACGCGGCACCACCCTCATTATGCCATGCATTTGATTGGAGACGGTCATATGATGGTCATTCCCCGACTACGTGATGGCGAATGAGAGCTCCACCAGTCAACACTGTCGCGTAGAAGACTAAGGCCCTCAAAAGTGGGTCCAATGGAACAAGACGAGTCAGTGGCTGAGGACCTCGACAGATAAATATGTCGGTCAACCAGTAGAGATATGATGGGCGACCGGAATTTCAAGGCACTTGTCCCACAGATTCACCTTCCTGGTACCGCAAAGTGGTCCAAACGAACCGCAATGTGGACATTTGTGCCTCCCGTTGACCACACAGTACATCTGCAGATTTGACCTTATTACGAATCAAATCAATTGCCGCGGTCAACCGGTTTCTTATCTATACCGCTGCGGCACGTTCGCCGTGCCTGACGGCTGGGAGCTGGCATAGTAGTGTCCGCTGGTCACATTGGATGGCGATTTACCAAGCTCAGACGCGCGTCCAATTATCCAGTGCTCCTGGGTGAAGCGTACGTTATGTCAAGGATTTACCCAGTGAGATTACCACCTATCCTGGCTACGCATAGCGAAATGCACACCCTAGAACCAGAAGAGACCACCATGGGTTAGTTATCCGTCACAAACGTGAAGCGTCAGCCGTGAAGAATATCGTGAACTTCCCTCACGCTAAGATGTTGAACGTTGCTACTTTTTCAGTCCAACCAAACTTTTGTCTCCTCAGAGCTGGTGATCATATCGCATTTNACCAAACTTTTGTCTCCTCAGAGCTGGTGATCATATCGTATTTGTGATCATCCTGTGTGTGTTGTAGGGAAATCGTATATGATGGATGTTCAAACTTCATTGTTGGCACGTCAGTGTTGTGATGACCGGAGGAGGGGTTTTCGGCCTAGAATCCCCGTCTATCTCGACTTGCGGTAATACTTTGTGGGTGACGGTGGTGGGTAGGATACCTGATGGTGTAGAGACTATACACGAATGAGGTGAGAAAGTTTAGGAACTGGATTGGGGAAGAACGAGTCAGTTTGAGAGCAAGGCGTTTCTTTAAAATGGAGAGCGTAAAATCAGTAGTGTCTGATAGGAAGTTTTGACTGGGAAGTAAAAAGCTCCCCCGTGTCTGATTGATCGGATTGCAGGAGATTGGTCCTACAGATTGCCGCTGTAAGTGTGAAAAGTTGCTCAGGCTATTGGCCTCGGACAGGTCACACATGAGCTGGGATTCAGTGTCGGAGAGATGGAAGTAAGTACTTATGTGAGGCCTGAATTCAGTGGTCCAGAGTTGAAACTACACAACTGACGTTTCGTCTTACTTAAGCCTAAAAGTCGGAACTTAAAGCGTTAATTGTGTTGAAGGTAGGTGATATAAGAATCACGTGCCAGCCAAGACTACCTGCCAGACATATAGTTTTCCGGGCCGGCTGAAGATGCAGTGAGGAGGAGAGCAGTATCGATGGTTTTTTGGCAGACTGAGTTTGGCATCTCAAAGCGTTCACGCGGTTCTCCAGGTTCGCGTGGACATGTGCCGGCACCACAGGTAGAGAGACTACTGGACAACGGGGTGCATGCAGTATTCTGGACTTTGGCACGTGCTGTTAGAGGCAATTCGACAGCAGCAGCAATCACAACAACATCAAAGACGCATGACACTTATGGATAAGGCGGACGATATAATAATAATAATAATAATAATAATAATAATAATAGTAATAATAAAGGTTTACTCCCAACTTATGGTGGCATACCGTCTGGCATGATCATAGTTTTACAGTCAGAATGGAGCATGACTGGGGGATTTGTAGGGGTGCGGATTGCACCAAAAAAGGACAAGGTCATAAAACGTGGGGAATACCCGATGATATAGTAATAACAGGTTATTTCCCAACTTCGTGGGAAAAATGGGCATGAAGTCCGACTAGATCAAAGACAATCAGGTGGCATGAACTACAACTGAAAACCATTGCTGGCCATGAGTGACCTAGGGTCGGAGTCACAACGAGCAAACAACAGATGGAGAAGGGATAATTCAAATAGGGAGCACATGGCAAGTTGTGTCCCACATAGGTGGTTTAACATGAAAGTAAGTGACGCAGTGATTGCACTGTTGCAGGGAAGTCAGGTGCCAGGGGCTGGGTTGGATGGGGGAAAGTTGGGGAAATGGCCGGAGTCATAACAAG